TGCCCGAGGCTGGCCCTGACATCCAGGCGTCTCCCTTTCCACAGCTGAAATGTATCCCTGCACATCCTCAGCCCAGGCCTGCCAGGCCCAGAAAGAAAAGACACAAATATACCGGGCTGGTGTGGCTCAGTGGTTGAGCATTAACCGACCTATCAACCAGGAGATCATGGTTCGATTCCAATCAGGGCTCATGCCAAGTTGTGTGCTCAAATCCCCAATAAGTGTGTGTGTGGGGGGGGGGGTGCGCAGCCCATCAATGATCCTCTCTCATCATTGATGCTTCTCTCCCTCTCTCTCCCTCTCCCTTCCTCTCTGAAATCAATAAAAAAAAAAAAAAAAATTTTTTTTAAAAGATCCACATACAAGGGCCTCAATCCAGTTAATGCTTCTTTTTCAAATGTTTGGTTTGAAAGTTTTAAGCAACTCTCAAACTAAGACACAGAATTGTAAGGTTGAATTTTGAATTGAAAACAAGTAATCAAATTAGTGTTTGGCAGTAGGGAAAAACCACTCAGCAGATAAGGGATTATCCTATTTACACATTAATTCTATTAACTGTTACTCTAAATTCTACTTCCAATTACAAGTCGTCGTTAGAAATTAATAAATTTAACTGATATGGTTTCTGTATAAAGAGGCTGAATTGGACACCACTCATATTCCAGCATCCTTTATCAAAACCATCAGAATAAAGTAACTAGCACTGGAAATTGAAAAATAAACCCAAAGCAAAATTAAAATTTTTGACTCAGAGTAGTAAAAGGGTATGATATTATAGTAAAACTTGAGAATATTTATTTTATTATTATTTTTTAATCCTCACCTGAGGACATTTTCCCATTGATTTTTGAGAGAGTGGAAGAGAAAGGAAAGACAGAGAGAAACATCAATGTGAGAGAAACACATTGATTGGCAGGGGAGGAGCCTGCAACCAAAGTACGTGCCCATGACTGGAATTGTACCCAGGATTCTCCAGCCACAGAGCCAAACCAGCTGGGGCAAACCTGAGAATATTTAGATGAAGACATGCTTTATACCTACAATGAAAATTAGCTAATAATTTCATTAAATCAACCCAAAATGTCTAATAGCATACTTTTCAAGAGATCAAACCACAAATGTGTAAAGTTTTTTTCTTTTTAAGGAAAAAAGGTGACCTATTTAAAATGTATGGATTTTATTTTAAACGTAGTGATAAATCTGCTAAATGCAATATCTGAAAATTTTAACCTATCCTCCTGAGTACCCAAGGCAGGAAGCTGAAGAAGTGGTGTTTATTTTAGAGAACTGTTTGGCACGATTAGCACTGCTCTATAGGCTAAGAACAATAACACAAACACAGTTCTTTAAGAAAGCCTGTGTGTTCCATTTCCATCAGATAAATCCCTTGTGTAATGAGCTATTGACCTATTGTGCACAAGAGAATGTTGATCCTATTGCTGAAATCTTACTAGAAACACTAAAGAGACACAGAAATTGGAACTCTTACATTTTAAAAAGGAGAAAGCTTGCTAATTCTGAATATGATTTTTAAAAGGACAGCTAAATTATAAATCACTTTTAAAAATGCAACATGACTAAAATATCGATAATCACAGATGTGCCCAGAGATACAGGGAGAAGGATATTTAATACAGAGTCGCTAAATATAGTGAAAACTGCCCTGGCCAGGTAGCTCACTCGGTTAGAGCGCCACAGGTACAGGTGGATCCTGGTGAAGGCAGACAAGAATGAACCAATGAATGCATAAATAAGTGGAACAACAAATCTCTCTCTCCTTCCCCCACCCGTTTCCCACCTTTCTCCCTCCTTCCCTCCCTTCCTTTCTCTCTTTAAAAATTAACTAAAATTTTAAAAACTGAATTAGTGAAAACTGGAAACAAATGAACTGTCAACAGGCAGATATATAATAGAAAACTATAAATGATGTTGTAGGAGTATTTTGGTAATATAAAGATGTCCATATTTGGGTGGGGGGAAAAAGTAAGTTACAAAGTAGTATGTAGAGAATGAACCCAGTTTTGTAGAGAATAACTTTCTAGCTGTGTAACTTCAGTAAAGTTACTTAATTTCTCTAAATCAGTTTTCTCTTCAAAGAAAAGAAGGTAATCATAGTATCTACACCTCACAGGGCTAGAGTGAGGATTACAGGAGATTCTGGTGTAGAAAGCAACTGGCATATTGCCTGCCTAATAGTAAGCTCAATACATATTAGCTCTTTGTGTTATATGTTCATTGGGTAAAAAAAGAGAATTTGAGAATATAGAGGTTAGTGATTTTCTGGGTGGTGGCTAATTTGTTTAACTTGTACTTTTAAACTTCTATAAGTACCATACTACTTATAATATGGGGAAACACTAATGAATTGGAATATTCACATACAGTGATTATTCTTTAAAAAGTCTACCACAGTGCTTTGCTCACAATAAATAAATCTTGGTTGAGTTGAATTTATCCTTCAGAACTCATTTAAACAAGTTTGCCCTAGAATGTTAAAAATTTCTTAACTTAAGGGCTAAACTTGCTTATAATAAACTGGGTAAAGACAGACATACTTACATTGTTCAGCCCCTTAAACAATTTAACAGCCCCACTTCAAGACCCATTAGAAAGCTGCTAGAACTTTCATTATCAAGTGGGGGAAAGCCCAAGATAAGGTAATCACTTCTAGTTTCCTCCCAACTCCACCCCTCTCCTCCTCCTGGACACTTTCCTTTCCTTCCATACCCAAAGCCTAAGGGTTCTCTCTAGTAGACTGTAAGCCCCAAGGACAGTGAGTGCGCTTAGCATCAATAGTGCCTAGCATAGTCACTGGTACCTAGCATAGTGACTGGAATGGTAGCTGCCCACTGAATGTTCACCGACTGGATGGATTGAATAAATGTCTGACAGCAGTAGTTTCGGATAGATCTTTCAGTTCCGCCATAAGAGAACTGGATAAGATAGGTGGTAGATTTGACCAGCCAGCCTGGCTCAGTGATTGAATGTCGACCTATGAACCAGTTTGATTCCAGGTCAGGACACATGCCCTCCTTGCGGGTTCCATCCCCAATGCGGGGAGTACAGAAGGCAACTTATCAATGATTCTCTCTCATCATTGATGCTTCTATCTCTTTCTCCCTCTCCCTTCTTCCTCTCTAAAAGTAAATAAAAATATTTTTTTAAAAAAAGGATAGGTTGACTGTCTTTAGTTTGAAACTGTCTAGAATTCTTAGTAATTGTTCTTTAAACACACACAAAAACATCTCACTTCGAAGTATCACTTCTTTAAAAAGAAAAAGTTCTTATTTGTACTCCATTGTCTATTTTAATGGAGATAAGATTATTTCCATTTTTCCCTGTGCAATTTTTTTTTAAAGTCCTACAAGAATCCCAGGGAGTTTGAGTAACTCATTCAAAGTACTTCAGGAAGTAAGTGACCCCCCAGTTAACCTCAGGCTTCTGGATGCCACTGCTCCAGATCTCTCTACCTGTGACTTTCGACCCTGAAAGTTGTAGATATCGGAAGAACAAGTGTTTTCAATAACCTGAGCAGGTGCTGAAGCTTCTTCCAACCATTTCCCAGGGCTTTTATGAGATTCTGGGAGAAGAGAAACTAAGGACAGGAGACCTCCAGGTTCCTATGTCAACCAGCTTTACTTAAAAACGAAACGAAAGAAACCAAATTAAATATTAACTCATGAAGAAAAAAAATTCTTCAACCTGAAGACTATTGGGAAGCAAGGCTGTCATCGAACAAGGGAAGGCTATAGAAAGGAAGTTTGCACAGCTTCTATATATTTTTTAAAGGTGAAGAATAAAGTTTGAGAGTTTTCCACACAGGCAGCCTTCCTCCGCATTCCAGGTTTTCACTTCCAGCCACTGCTCGGACTTTGTTTAAACACTAAATGGCAGTTCCCTTAACCCGAGGTGGGACCCAAACACCTTTCAGGTATGTACGCGGAAACGCTGACCGTCCTGGTATACACACTCAGAAAGCAGACATCCTAGGAACCTGCCAAAGGATTGCACACACACAACCTCGGTCTACCGGCTTTACAAGTAGAAAATTTTGTGGAACTTAATTGGTTATTAACGGAGCCCGCTGGAACATCCTTTTATTTATACATAAACAAGTAATTTGTGGAGGTCTCCTTTGTGCCGGACATTATAGCTCCTTTGCTCTATAGTCCTCAAGTCCTCGGAAATCCTAAGAGTCCCATTTTACTAGATCAGAATGTTTAACTGAGAACCCACATTAACAGATGGGGGAGGAGGGGTGAGCCAAGGATTTGAAAAGTGAAGTTTAAATTCAACATGCACACCTAACCTAGAGTCACTAAACAGACCTCTAGGCCAATTTAAAATGCATGTCAAAATCGATTTTAAGGTCCTATCAGAGCAGGCAGGATAAAACAGAAGAATGACAAAGACTGACACATAACAGATTCCAGGACTCGCCACCAGTTATTTCAAGACGTAGCCGCGGGTTACTAACAAGTATCCCCATCCCAAAAAGAGAGACAGTTCCCTTCCACCTATCTGCGCTGAGAAACCAAATCCTTTCCTTCAGGGGACCGGGCCAAACGCTGAAAGGTTTCAGCGTGGGTTGCCCAGAGCAGGGTCCTTACTGTCCACACATCATCAGCAAGTGCCTCAAAAAAAGAAAAAGAAAAAAGAGTCCGTCCCTCCTTCACCCTCTGAATCCAGCCTTGACCTCCGTAGTGTCACTCTGGAGATAGATAGATATATATATATATATAGTTGAAAGTGTCCTTTCCACGCCAGGACCGAGTCACCCGACATGGGTGCAAATGAATGAGTTGAACGTTCCAATCAAAGAAACCAAACCAGCCTCGCATCCATCCTCCCTCCAGCCGGCAAAATCCGGCGAGGATGCCCCGGGGCGGCGGCGCGCGCAGGGGCCGAACCCGAGCCACGTCTCCGCTCCGTCCGCCTCCCCGCCCCATCCTCCTCCTCCTCCTCCTCCTCTGCCCCCGGCCCCTCCGCGCGCTCCTCACCTGCACCCGCCACCGGCTCCAGCGCCCGCCGAGGGTCTGCGAGCCGCCGCGGCCACCTCCACGCCGAAGCCGCTAGAAAGTTTGCTCCGCGTCTCGCCCTCTCGCGCGAGGGAAGCTGCTCCCCGGGTTCCCCTCCCACGGCCGCCGCCCCCGGGCCGCTCCGGGCGGCGCTGCAGCGGCGGCGGGGCGCGGGCGGCTCCGTGCGCGCTGGGCGGGGAATCCCCGCCCCACCGGGCCCCGGAGGCGCGGCGCTGCCTGTTTACCGCGGCCCGGCCGCTCCCCCCGCCGCTCCGCCCGCCCTGCGCGCCCCTGACATCATTCATTCCCGCCCGCCCCTCCGCGCCCGGCACTGACTCACCGCGGCCGCGGGCGGCGCCGCCGGCTCCCGCAGGGGTGGCTGCAGGCGCTGAGCGGAGCTCGGCAAACCGGTGCGACTTCTTAAGGAGAGAGCCCGGGCCCACCCTCCCGGGCCCCGGCCTTTAAAGGTGCGGGGAGGAGGGGCCTGGCTGCACCGGCCCATTGGCTCTGCGCGCACAGGCTGAGCGCCCCGAGCGGACCTCCTGGACCTGGAGATCCATCTGGGATCTGGGAAAGTTGTTTGGGTAGGTGTCACTCCCAGTAACTTTCGAGGGTGCGGCTGGGGAGGAATCCCCTCCCCACCCCCTCAACCTCGCCTCATTCAGGAACTGCTTCCGGACGTGGAAGCCAGGGGGCTGGCCTCAGTGTCAGAGGTGAGTGTCCAAACCTCGCCGCGTGGCCTGGCAGGATTAGTCATCATCAGTCCCTCCAGCGGCCACGCGAGGTGCGAGCTGGAAGGGTGCTCCGGGTTAATGAAGCTAATAATACTTTCCCTTCAGTGACTAACCACCGTGTCATGCGTCCTGCTAATTGATTCACTTCTCGTTAATGATAAAGGAAACCGTAACCAAAATAAACAGTTGGAAGAGTCTTTCTCTGCTCAAGGGAACACTGACTGCACTTCCCCCGCAGCTTTGGGGGCACAAGGCCATCCTGTGTGGTTCCTTTGGTGAGCTCAGCGGATCAGCGATTATGTTTTTAGAAGGGGTGTTGCCTTCTTTAAAAAAAAAATAAATGGTTGCTTGGTGATGCTAGTCATACACCTGCTGAGCAGTTTTCAAAGTAAAGGATGGCAGCCTCAGAAATTCCAACTACGATGAATCAGAGGGAATTTGGCCAAATCATTGTTGAATTTAATGGACAGAAATGTTTTTTGTTCATTTCTATCCGGGGAACAGGGTAATTATGTTTAGGATTGACACTGGCTGATGGGTGATTCCATATCATCAACAAAAACAATCCCAAGGCATCTCTGGATGCCTGGAGCAGAAGTAATGGGGGTAAATAATCACTTGTCTACATGACAATTAAACACAGTGGTAGCAGAATAAAAACATCCAGGGCAGTCCTGAAACAGACAACCGTGAGATGTTCCGAGAGCAGTCTCCCCCAAATGAAAATGCTCCTGAAATTAGCCAAAGGTTCCATATCATTGTTGTGGAAAATGCACTCAGTAGAGAACACCAACAATTGATATTTATTTTCATTGGGCCTATTTTCTCTTTTCAATAGGAGTTCATTTTTGATTTTACAAAGCCCAGGCATTTTGCCCAGAAGGCAAGAGCAAATGGATTGGTTTGCTAGGATGCAAAGTAAATGGAAATTTGAACCAACAATTTTTACAGACAATCATACATCTAAGCAGAAGCTTGGGTGGGTGTCCTGTCTATACCACCCAGAAACTAGATTCAAATGTGCAGACACAGAAAACTGTAGATGAACATCCCACAGACTTCCTACTTTATGGCCCAAAATTTGGACATTATGTCTGAATAAGATTTTCTACAGATCTTTAAAAATAATGTTGTGGGCTTTGGGCCTAAGTACATGGATAGAGTAAAAAAAAATATCAAAGCAAAACCTGTCATCCTGTCTGCATCCTGTCTGTAAATCCTGCAGCTCTCTCACAGGAAGCTCTCTGTTTGTTTGGAAGGCTTTGTGTGTAGTTTTGATTTTGTGGTTACTTTTGGGCCTCAGTTTACATATCCTATATAATAAAGAGGTAATATACAAATTGACCATCACTCCAACACACAAGATGGCTGCCCCCATGTAGACACAAGATGGCTGCCACAAGATGGCCAGCAGGAGAGGGCAATTGGGAGGGACCAGGCCTGCAAGGGAGAGCAGTTAAGGGCAACCAGACCATCAAAGGAAGGCAGTTGGATGTGACCAGGCCAGCAAAGGAGGGCAGTTGGGAGGAATCAGGCCTGCAGGGGAGGGTAGTCAGGGGTGATCAGGCCTGCAGGGGAGGACAGTTAAAGGCAATCAAGCCTGCAGGGGGAATGGGCCTGCAGGGAAGAGCAGTTAGGGATGACCAGGCCAACACAGGAGAGGGCAGTTAAGGTGACTGGGCCTGCAAGGGAGGGCAATTGTGACAAGGCCTGCAGGGGATGGCAGTTGGGGGCAACTAGGCCTACAGGGGAGGGCATTTAGGGGTAACCAGGCCAGCAGGGGAGGACAGTTAAAGGTAATTGGACTGGCAGGGGAGCAGTTAGGCGTTGATCAGGCTGGCAGGGAAGTGGTAAGGGGGTGATCAAGCTGGCAGGCAGAAGTGGTTAGGGATAATCAGGCAAGCTGGCAGGTGAGCAGTTGGGAGCCAGTAGTCCTGGATTGTGGGATCAGGCCTAAATGGGCAGTTGGGCATCCCTCAAGGGGTCCCAGATTGGAGAGGGTGCAGGCTGGCCTGAATGACATTCTCCCCTATCCCCGATAAATTTCATGCACTGGGCCTCTAGTTGTAAAATAAATAATTAGGTCATTTTATTATACCACTTAAACATTCTCCAATAAATACCTATATATGTAAAAGGCTAATATGACAAGTGTCCCACCTTCCAATATGATACACACTGACCACCAGGGGGCAGATGTTCAATGCAAGTGCTGCCGAGCTGCAATGAATTGGCAGCAGTGGGCCTCTGGTGATGCACCATGAAACCATAGAGGAGGGAACCTCAAGGCTGCATATTCCACCTTTGGCCGTGGGTTATGTTGTTGCTGGGGCACTGTCAGCCCAGAATCTGCTTTAACACACACTTGCATTTGCGTTTCCACACCCTGTATGACAGCAACTTTGCAGAGCACCCTCCCTCACTCCGGGACCCCTCGGGGATGTCAGAGAGCCAGTTTCAGCCTGATCCCCACAGGCCAGGCCAAGGAACCCCACGTGCGGGAGGGACCCCGCTCACTGCACAGAAGCCTGGGAGGGACTGTGGAAGGTTGGCTCTAGGGCATGTCTGGCCATCTTGCCCAATTTCTACCCGCCAACCCATTTTCTTCCAATGTGCACAAATCCATGCACTGAGCCACTAATAAAACTATAATTGTGATTGTGTTGTGTGAAGTTTTTCCATTTTACTCATTATCAACATATGAGAAAGTAAGTTATTCATCTTAATTTCTATGTTGAAAAATAGTGACTTTTCCATTGCACAGAGAGTGGTAATTTATTTCTTTCCTTTTCTTTTTAACTGTAACCTTTTTGTGTCCTTATAATGCATCAAAGTTTACTAAGTCCCTGATTAGTCACCTTCCAAAATAATAATGCTGAATGCTCTAAGGGAGAGAAAGGACTGTTAGTTGTGTTGTCATTTTCCCCCACTATATTTTTGCATACTGTAAGTTAAGTTTTAAGGATGTTCATTTAGTTTGATAAAACATACTAAGTTAGGAATATATATATGTATATATAATATGCACATGTAAATATATATTATATCTATAGTCTCTATCTCCTTTTATACTAACTCCTATTCTGGATGTACCTAAGTCATTCGCTCAGCCAACAAATATTGTGCCCACGTTGTTTATCTAAGAACATAATGTACATCTTCTAAACATATGGCTCAACAATGGGAAAGTTTGCTTTAAAAAGAATTGCATAAGGATTTTCTTGCAGCATTATTTATAATTTTCCCAGGGTTTAGCAGGATGCCTGGCATGTAATTACTGAGTGAAATAAACACATGAACAAGCCTTAAGGAACAAACCAATGGTGAAGTAACTCTATGTTATAGGATTCTCTGTAGCCAATTTAAAGAAAATAAAATTGTTCCATAGGCTCTGACTTAGAAAACTGTCTTTGTTAAGTGAAAAAATATAAGCAGAAAGAAAACACACAAACACACCCCCACACACACACACACACACCCTGTTTTTGTGACACAAATACCACTCCCCTCTGAAAAATACATACCCAAACTATGTAGTACCTCTTGGCATGAAATATAGAAGGGCCAAGTGTGAGGGGGAAACCTGTATTTAAAAATATATATATTTCTTTGATTTTTTACAGAGAGGAAGGGAGAGGAATAGAGATAGAGAGCTAGAAACAACGATGCGAGAGAAACACCGGTCAGCTGCCTCCTGCACACCCCCTACATGCCCTTAACCGGAATCAAACCTGGGACCTTTCAGTCTGCAGGCTGAAGCTCTATCCACTGAGCCAAACTGGTTTCAACAGGAAACCTGTATTTCTTGACTACTTTTCAATGAGTCTGCACTACTTTCATAATAAAAACAACAACCCAAGCAACAATGGAACTTAGAAGGTAGTAAAACAATGAGAACATACCATAGGTGTGCTTACTGTCTGGTTGGAGAGACAACACCCAGAACAACTAGAGATTAAGGCTGCTCACCTTGTGGATTCAGGGTTTCAGATATTCGCCCTGTGGAGGCCCATCCGATGAGCCAAGATCTACCATTTAGTGAGTACATTGTGTATGCCAGGGACGGTGCCAGTAGATTTCCCCTATATTATCTCATTTAATCTTTTCAGTGACATTCTGAGGTAGGTACTCATAATGCCCTCCTCCACATATGCAATAACCAAAGATAAGAGTTTGCCAGTACCCCGATATCCCACTCAAGTAAGGGACATCCTCAAGGTATAAAATCAGGACTTTCCGGTCCCAGAGTTCATACTTTTGACCATCATTCCCTAAATTGTATCATCTACACTGATGTAATAATAATCTTACTTTTTTAGTTTAAAAACTGTTATTATTTATAAAAAACATAAGGCAATAGTACCATATTGTAGAGCAATTGGAAAATAAGTGTGTGTGGGGGGGGGGAGGGGGCACTGTTAATATTTTGTTGTCTCTTCTGCATTCTTTAGATTTCTACTGGTTAACATTATTTCAACATCATACATATGATTCTTATTCTGATTTTTAAACATTTTTTATTGATTG